ATGTAACTTGTGACTATAAAACGGACGCCTATGCAGTAGAATCCAAGCTACAAAATACCGGCTGCCAGTCAGGGCTCAGTTGAACCCAATTCAAATGTTGTTAGGGATTATGGCTTGAGTCTGCAGTGGTAGTACACTATTTGTAGCTCGTTTACAGTCACCAATCTGAAGTAAGAACTGGAGAAACCCCAGGTCTTTTATTTGGTTCCATTTGACGACTAAGCCGATCAGCTGAGTCATGCACACACGTATCACTGCCTGTGATTCAGATTTGAGTTTGGCATAGTCAGATGGGCAGGCGGGCCCCTATCCCCATTTTAAAATTCATTGGGAGACCCTAAACCAGGCAGAACGGAAGTAAACACTGCCCCACCGTTACTTCGATAAAAATTACAGTTTAAAAAGCTAAGATGATACCTTGAGAGCCCAGGGGATGCGAAGATGGTTCCTCGGGAAACTGCTTGAACAGCTTGACACAAGTGATGGGAGAGTCGTGCGAGCCCGAAAAGAAGTGCAGCAACACTGAAAAAAATTGATTTACAAAATCGCGAAATTCTAAAATTAACAGCAAAATGCAATCGAGAGAGAACAGTGTTACATGGTATGTTATAGCGTCTCCTTCTAACTGCAACTTTAACGACACTATCACTCAAGTGAAACCCAGACAGTCTTATTGGAGCCCTGAGAGGGGAAGGGGTCGTGTGCGTGGCACGAGTAGACCGACTTTGTAAGCCACTGCTCAATCGAATCGCAACTTCAGCATCAGCTGCTGACCGCGACGTTTACGGCATATTTTCTCCTCAGTGAAAGCTAAATAGTCTTCTTGGAGGCCTGAGCGGGAAACAGGTCGTATGCGTGGCACGCGTAGACCAACTAGGTAGCTTTGTCCGCCACTGCTCAATCGAATTCCAAATCCGACTTGGCACTGGAACACAGCAAGTGAGGGGAGAGAGTGTGATAGATAGGGCGCAAGTCTGTCTCACTATGCACTGATCCACGAGCAAGATACCGGTGCTGGGCTCACCTCGCGAGAGGCACACAGCGGACGTCATGGATTGCGATAGTCAAATTTCCACTAGGTGGAAGGCAAACATGAAGTCTTATACATTCGTCCGCCTGGAGATGCGGGCTTCAGACAGACTACCTGTAAATGATTATTACTCAGTTTAGTATCAGTTTTATTAAAGGAAAGATGAGCGAACGCCTTTGAGCTCCTATTTATTTCCCACTCTGTCCTGCCTTATATTATTGTAATTGTATGAATAGTCGGAAACGTGTGTTCGCTTAACTTGACTTCTAGATTGCCATTCACTTTAAAGGCAGAGACGCGATCCGAAAATATACGTTTGTGGACAAAAAGGAG